CACGACTACATCATGGGGGCCGAGTACGTCGCCGTGGCGCGCATCCGCCAGGCGCTGGCGGAGGTGCCCCGGCGGTACCTCAAATGCATCAAGACCGATTGTCTTGTCATGCAGGACGTCCCCAAGAAGCACGGCCCGCCGTGGAGCGGCTGTTGAAGATGTCGCACCGGGACGGCACGCCTGTGTATCGCTACGAGGAGGTCACCGGGCTGAAGGGCCAGTATCGGGAGCCGAGCATGGAGGCGGAGCCCATCAGGGCGAAGGCGCCGTGGCGGCGGGTGGAGGACCCGGTGGTGCACTGCTTGGATGGCGAGAGCCTGCTGCTGAGCGGCTACCCGGGCACCGGCAAGACATGTCTGGCCAAGAAAATCGTCGAGGCTCTGAGGGAGCACGGGGACACGGTGCACATCATCACCAAAACACATGCGGCCGTGCAAAATGTGGGCCTGGGGGCTCAGACGGCGGACCACTGGGTGCGGCGGAATGTGCGCAACGGGCACTGCAGCGCCACCTGGCTGGTCATCGAAGAATTGACTCAGTTAGATACTCCCCTGTGGGCCGACATAGCTTGTCTGAGCATGAACAAGAAGATTCGGTTTCTGCTCTTGGGAGACTTTAGGCAGCTGCCCGCTGTGCTGGATAGCTTCGCGGGGGCGGAGGTTTGCAAGGAGCTCAAACACAGCCAGCTGCTGCACGATCTGGCGGGGGGCTGGTGCCACGAGCTCTCGGAGCGCTGGCGCTTCGACGAGCGGATCTTCGAGTTCCTGACCTGGCTTAAAGTGGACGAGCCGGCGCAGGTGCCGCTGGTTGATGCGGTGCGGGAGGCCCGGCGGCGCTTCCCGAGGCGGGGGGAGCCGGACGTGAGCCTGGTCATCTCCCACGCGAAGCGATTGCAGATCAACGAGCAGGAGAATCGCAGGCTTGCGCCCGCCGATGCTCTGGTGGTGCGGTACGAGGCCCGCGGGGCGGTGCCGACGAATGCGCCGCAGACCATGAGGGTCTGGCCGGGATTGCGCTTGATCGGAGCCGGTGGCAAAGTGCAAAAGGGCACCTTCCTGATCGTGGAAGCCGTGGAGGGCGACGTCGTGCGCCTGGAGAGCGGGCAGTGCTTCGCGGGCCCGGAGCTGCTGAAGCACACTCGGCTTTGCAGCGCAATTACCTATGCTTCGGTGCAGGGCCTGACCCTGAGGGGACGGGTTTGGCTCTATGACGTGGAGAGCCCGCATTTCACGCTCAAGCATCTGTACATGGGGTGCTCCCGGGCCACCAATTCGGAGCTTTTGAGCGTCCTGTAGCGGCACTGCCAGCATTCGTCAGATTTGACGAGTTGCGGCAGTGGCCCGCTTTTTTGATGAAAAGGAGCGCCGTTTTGTGGCACTGTCGCAATTCACCAGATTTGGCGAATCGCGACAGTGGCCCGTGACAGTGGCCCGTTTTTGATGAAATTGAGAGTGGTTTTGTGGGGGTGTCAGCATTCGCCAAATCTGGTGAGTTGCGACAGTGGGCCGTTTTCGATGGAAGAATGGGTCGAATCCGAGCTATTGAAGCAAAGTCGGAATTCCGACCTCGCTTTTGATTGGAAAGCTGGAAAAAAAAGGCCAGCATTTCGTTCCCCGACAGCCCCCCTCGGAGGGGGACTGAGAGGGTATCCCGCCCAGGCGCACAGGCCTGGCGGGGGCGGCGAGGCTTCGGAAGCGCCCCATTCCCTGGACGCCTCCCCGGTGCCTCGCCGACCGGCGCGAGCTTCATCGGTGGCTGGGGGATACTGATAACCCCCCAATTGAGCCTTGAACAGTCAGGCACCACCTCCACTCGCTGGGACCGCCGTGCCACAACCTAGAGCCTCTCCCCACAAGGGTGGATCATCGGCCCTAGGCCCCGGCTCAGCGTGCCCCATTAGGATAGGATAGGATAGACGACGGTGACGAAGTGAACGACGACGAACACGACCTGCCTGGCATCGAGGAAAAAAAAATCTGCCAGCCGAGACGGCCCAGAAAAACCATCAATTCCATCAATTCCATCAATCGGCTCCTTTGGATTGATAACCTTGTCAGAATCATAGAAATCGAGGCAGTGGACTGATCTGCGGAAACTAGTTGTGCTCTGAAGCGATGAGAGACCAGGAAATGGCAACACAAGTTAGCGAAACCGATGCAAGAGCGGCGATTGATGGGAATTGATATTTCGCCGGCTGGAATATCAATCGCGGTTTTGGCGCAAATCTGCACTGATTTGATGCTTTTCGACCTGTGCGCTCTCTCTGGGGAGGGTGTTCCAGCACTCCACTCTGTAGTAGCTACGAGGCTAGTTTCGAGACATAGGGTAGAATTCGCTACTTCGAGGGCCTTTCGATTTTGAGGGCTGGAGGCCGTAGGGCTCGCAATCTTAGGGGCTCTAAAGTGCTTGCAAAACGGGCGCGCGCTGCATTGGAAGGAGTTTGACGGCGCGCGCAGGGCTCGCGAGCTGTTTGGAGGCGCTCCGTCGTGCTCCGGAGCTGTTTGGGAGCGACGCGCGCTTACGCGCGCTCGTTCGGCGCGGAGGGCGTGGGAGCAGCTCCTAAGTTGCTCGTAGGCAGCCGGCGAGTGCTCGTGAGTTGCTCGTAGGCAGCGGGCGAGTGCTCGTGAATTGCGAGCAGGCAGCTCCTGAGTTGCGAGCCAGGAGCTCGTGAGTTGCCAGCAAGCTCGTGAGTTGCGAGCAAGTAGCTCGTGAGTTGCCAGCAAGTAGCTCCTAAGCTGCCGGCGAGCACTCGTCAGCTGCTGGCCAGAGGCGCGCCCTTAAAGTTCCTCTAAAGCCCGTTTTGCAAAGACTTTAGAGCCCCTAAGATCGTCAGAGCTGCGGGCCGTAGGCCCGCGAATCGACAGTGCTCCAAAGTACCGAATTCTACCCTATGTCTCGAACTAAGGCTTGTAGCTATCACAGAGTGGAGCGCTGGAACACCCTCCCCAGAGAGAGGATCTCGGGCGTGCGCTTGCCTGCCTTTGTTCCCGCAGTTTTGGGCACCATGCAGACGCAAGATTGAAAAGCCAGAAGTCTTGTCCAAAGCAGCTGCACGCTCACCTTCAATGCCACAACCAGCGGATTTGCAACTGGGGAGGCCCATTGTAGCGAAGCCAGAATTGCTTTCGTTTCGTGGGCCCAGAAACGGGGTCGTCCGCAGCATCATTTCTTGGGCTCATCCTGCTTCTATATCCACTGGAGATCTGTGTCAGTTTGCAATGTCATCGAGGTATCTCGAGGATCTTTTTAAGCCAATCGAGATCTTTGACGTTTATTAGGATGCATCGCTGCGACACGATCATCGAAGCTCCGGTCTAGGATTGCCAAGATCTATGGCTCTATGGAGTCAGCAATAGCCAATAGCTTGCAAGATCATCGAAGCTTGTTGAAGCCTTTTCTAACTCCAGCAAGTGGACTTGGAGCCAGCTCCGGCTTAGAATTCTCTGTAGTAAAGAAAGAAGAAAGGCAGCCCACGTGCTCGTTCAGGTCCGAGGCTTCTGGTGACCCCTTTAATACATCCGGGCCACAAACGTGTGGCTTTGAAGCCACATAAGCCACAAACGTGTGGTTTTGAAGCCACATCAAGGCCACTTAACGTGTGGTTCTCAAGCCACATCAACGTGTGGTTTTGAGGCCACATCATCTGAGCGGTCACAAGGTCCCGCTTTTTGCAAGGAGTCCCAACCGGGTCCCACCTCCCACCTCTGCGTCACCGAATCCCGTTTTTTTGCTCGCCGGGTCTTATCCGGGTGTCACCGGGTCCCATGTTTCCCACACAAGAAGTTTCATCTGGTTGTCACGTGTCCCATACTTTGCTAGCCAGATCGAATCCGGGTCCCACCGGGTCCCACCGGGTCCCATCCGGGTCCCACCTGGGTCCACCCGGGTCCCATTTTTCTAGGGCCGGGTCCCACACCCCGTTTAGGTTTTAAAAGTTTAAATGAACGGCGAGGCGGGACCCATGCACGGTTTTTGTGCATGGAGCTGCCTTTAGCATTGTAGTCCAGGTCATGTCCCAAACGGTGTCAACACTTCTTCAGTGAAAGCATGCATGAATCAAAGCATGTTCTCGCGAAGCTCGCACTGCTTCAGCAGTTGAGGCACTCTCGTTTGCCGTGTGCTTTCCGAAGGTGGAGGAACGAGATAGAGAAGATTAGCATGGCCCCTGCGCAAGGATGACACGCGCAAGCCGAGAAATCTACCAACGTGAAGCACAAGATAGCAGGGACAGCTGCAAGCTGCAGGAACTACAAGACCAGAAGACTGCAGAGACTACGGTAAGATTGTAAGCTCCGAACCCACGAGGGAGGCTTTGGAAGGCTTCAGTTTCTGTCTCGAAACCCCACAAATGACGGTTCGAGAGGCTTTGCACTGTTGGTGAAAATCGCAAGCTTCGCGACTCCAAATGTAGGGGTGGAAAAGTCCAGCAATTCTGGCTTCGCTTGAGCGGGCCTCCCCTGCAGTCGGTCACAGCAAACTGCTTCACCTGCCGATGCTTTCGTTCAGAGGCCTGTCTCGAGCCATCAGATGGACAGTGATGCATTGCGAAGCACCGGCCTTGAACGTTTGCTCCTTTTGTCGAACAAATGCAAGATTTCTCTTCTCCGGTTCTTCAGGTTGTGAGGCCATTCGTACTCTGAGATAAAGCTCTGAATCACCTGAAATGTTGCACCCTGCACATGCAAGAGTTGCAAGAGTAAGCTCAATTCCACGTGCAGGAGGCCGCTTACCACATAACAATGCATCCAATCCCACATCAAGCATTTCACAAGCCGCATGCTTTTGTGAGCAAGCACTCCACATGGGTTGAAGTTCAAGCCCATGCTTGGATTCGAGCAAGAAAAAATCCTTCGGGTCTTGCTTGTTATGTTGGCACATAGCGGGCAAACTAAAGTCCCACTAGAGCCCTTGAAGTCGTACATAGATTTCAAAGCTGCCTCGTCTGCAACTACAGTATGCAGTTTCGCAAAGAACATTCACCACCGAAGACCGAGTCAAGTTCAAAGGGAACCAAAGGTTTTCTTGGCATCGGCCTTCGGCGTCAAACTCGAGAAAACTGAGGTAGTACCCTTGGATCTTTCTGTTGCTTTTAATTGGTTGCCAGGACTGATCTCATCATTGTATAAAGCCATGCGCCATGGGCTGGTTGCTGTGCACGGGTACTTCGATAGCTGCCTTTGGAAAAAGGCAGCTACACCCGGCATGGACTGGCAAAGGTGCCATATCCATGCCATCAGGTTGAGGATCGGCAACTCTGTCGGCACGATCTTGATCTCCTCGTCTCCAGCTGCCTTTCGGCTCTTCACCTCCACAGGTACTGTAACCTTGGCCACCAAAGGGCCATGAGGAGTCTCTGCCTCCAGCTCGGAATCCCGTGCCCTTTTGATGCCTCGCCGGGATGAGTCAAGGACTGCATGCAGCCACTTCCTTCAGTGCTGCCTCCAGTGCACTCTGGCTCACATAGTGCTTTCTGCCGATGGTAGCGAGCGACATAGATTATAAAGATGGCTGCCCGCGAGCAAAATGCCCTGCAGGCACCGGATATTAGAAGTAACAATTCTTATAATAAATATGTCTGTACATACAACATGTGTCAACCTGTCTATAAATCCTTGTCCCCACGAAACCTTCTTCAACACAACAAAAACCTCTGAATGCACGTATGATACAATGTATGCACACGATCTACAACTAATTTCTTATAATGGCTGGACTATATCTACCAATATATAATATCACGTATATATATATATATATATATATATAATATAATATATATATATATATATATATATGTGTGTGTAAGTATGTAACATACATACATATATATATACATATATATATATATATATATATATATATACAGGATATATTTATACTTTCAATGCAGCATCAGACCAATCTGCAAGCCGATCCGATCACTCAGGTTTACATGCTGCCTGGCAAGACACACACACACACATGCAGCAGAAGAGGCAACATGATGTGCTTAAGTGCATCCTGCATGATGATCTTTTCCTCCCTCGGTGCTGCAGTCGACGAGTTCCCCACTCATCGAGCCGGTCATTTGAATCGGGCAAGCATCTACTTACAGAAGCAGCTGGGCCTGCAGCCTGGTGCGAATCTGCATTTGCTGCAACCATGCGGGCGAAGGCTCACCCTTTTCTTCATGGAAAGATTGGCATAGTATTCTCTGCTACCGGCCGGGGCGGCTTTGGCCTTTGCACTGGCCTTTGCACTGGCCTTTGCAACGGCCTTTGCACTGGCCTTGGCACTGGCCTTGGCACTGGCCTTACTGGCTGCCTTTGCTTTGGCATGGGCTTTGGCCTTTGCCTTTGCCTTGGGCAAGCCTGCAGGCTTCTTAAGAATCCCCTTCTTCTTGTTGACTGCATCTGCAACGAGCCCAGCCTGCCTCAACACTTCTGCCTCGTCGGCCTCGTCGTTTTCAGGATCACTCATCTCCAACTGCACTGCCGGCGAGACACCAGCTGATGCATTCGTTGCCGCCACAAGTGCTGCTTGCTGGACCGATGCAGATGCCCCTGCAGGTGCCTGCTGGGTTGCTGCTGCAGGTGCCTGGGTTGCTGCTGCAGGTGCCTGGGTTCCTGCTGCAGGCCCCTGGCCCATGGTGGTTGCCCCTGCTTGGCCTCCACCGGGTGCGAAGTACTGCATGTTCGGGATCGGGTCCTGCTGCTGCTTATTCTGGTCCTGCATGAACCTCTGCATCATGTTGTTCATGGTGTTCATCATACCCATCATCGTCATCCCGGGCTGCATGCCTTGCAGGCCCATGTTGAATTGCATGTTCATGGGGTTGTTGTTGCCACTTGCACACACTGCAGGCCAGCTCTGCATGCCACCGGCACCCATCATGTTTCCACCACGAAGCTTCTTCGAGCTCCCTCTCAACACGATTGCAGATGATGCTGCCTGCACCCTGTCGGGAGATTGCATCTGCACAGTCCATGCAGGATCCTCTTGAGAGTATGCATCGGCGAGCTCAGGGGGCAGATTGTCTGGCGATGCTGGATAATGCTCGAGGTGAAAGCCATTCTTGGGCAAGCCTTTGGCTTTGATTTTCAGCATTTTTTTGAACAGCTGCTTGTTGGCATAGCTGTCAACCGCCCCCACATCACCGCCTGCCCTGGCCAAGCCAGCCGCCAAGATCGCTTTGCAGCAAGCCTCAGATGGGCAGGTGAGCCTCAGCTTGATGCACCGGCATGCCAAGACATCCAACTTCACGTGGATGTTGTCACCAGCTTCCAAAGCCTGGATATCTTTGACGGACAGGTAAGGTTCGAAAGCATCAACTTTCTGAGTAGCTCTCTTGCCACCCTGACCTGTCCCGGTGTTGGTTCTAGCTACTGCTCCAGCCAAGAGATCACTGAACTCCTTTGTTTGTTGAGAAGTCCATTGCTTTCCTGCAGTCCATGCAGCCAGCAGGGCTGAGGCTCCATTTGCATCCACGGAGGCAAGGTTCTTCACTCGCTGGCAAAGGGCTTTTGCTTGCACCTCTCTAACACTGTCGTAGTTCGGGAGTGCAGTCATGGACTGGAGAAAATTGGCTGTAGCAGCCAAATCCCCCTTCAACTGATCCATGGCTGTGGCAGCAGACATGTCGATCTGTTTGCGAGCTTGAAGCCCTGCAACCGATCTTTGCAATCAATCCTTTTGAGCCTTGCTTGGACATATCGGCGGGCCAGGTTCGCGAAATTTTGGATTCTTCCTCCCTCTCTCTCTCTCTCTCTCTCTCTCTCTCTCTCTCTCTCTCTCTCTCTCTCTCTCTCTCTCTCTCTCTCTCTCTCTCTCTCTCTCTCTCTCTCTCTCTCTCTCTCTCTCTCTCTCTCTCTCTCTCTTTCTGTCTCTGGCTTTTGCTTCTCCTTCTCCAAAGTATATATATATATATATATATATATACATATACATATATATATATATATACATATGTATATACATATATATATATACATATATATATATATATATACATATATATATATATATATATATATATGATAGTTCCGTATACAGACTAGATACACCCGGACATGATTTGAAGTTGTTCGCTCTCATGTCTTATGTGTGGTGTGCCGGCATCCTCACTTCGTTTCCTTTGTCTTTTGCAGCCGAAGCTAAACTCCCTGTTCCTTCCATCGTCCTTTTCTCCAGTCACCATCCCCTCCGGCCCCTTATATAAGCTGCCTCAGCCATGCCCACCTCCTATATATCCATGGCTCTCTGGCTGCTTCCCTCCTCCTCCTGCCTCGATCCCTCCCATGCCTGCTTGGTTTATCTGAATGCATGTCTGTTGTGCATGTCTCTGTACTTCCTGTTTTGGGCACATGTGTCAATACATGACGGTCATGCATGCCTCTGTCTCTTTGTCTGTGTCGTCTCGATCGCAAGACACCATGCAAGAGAACATGAAAACACAAAGCCAAGACACATGACACTCACAGAGAGAGACACAGAAGCAGTCCCAGAGTGCACAAAGACAGCCACATGCATGCAGGCACAGCGAGACACCGACGTGCACAGCAATGGCGACACACAAAGACAGCAGCAGTATATAGATACACACGAAAGCACAGCAACAGAAGCACAACAAGAACACACATGCACATCATGTAGGACCGCACATGCAGTCCTGGTGACCACTTGTACCGAGAAATATGCCACATCCGGAAACAAGGGCTGACGACGATGTCATTGTTGTGTCTTCGTGTCTTGGTTGGCTGTGTGCCGAATGTCATTGCTTGTTTTGCACACCAGAGAAGCAACAATGAAACAAGCGAGCAACCAAGCAACTCGTAGATATGTGTATATATATACACATACATATATCTATCTATCCATCTATCTATATATATATATATATCTATATATATATATATTCATCCTATATACATGTATATACAGTATTTAGCATATGTTTATTGTGGCAACCATACAACTCACATGTATAGTGCATACATATATATATGCATGTGTATAGTTACGGAAGTATATATGTGTATATATATATGTATACATGCATATATATATATATATATGTATATGTATATGTATATGTGTGTATATATATATATATATATATATAGAGCTTATGTTTACAATGTATATATATGTATATGTATAAACTATAACAATGTATGTGTATATACATATATATATATGTATATGTATATATATATATATGTCTGTATCTGTATGTATGTATGTATGTATGTATGTATGTATGTATGTATGTATGTATGTATGTATGTATATATATGCATATAAATATAGCTCTATATAGTGTTTGTATATGTATAAGAACATAAAGGATATAATGAAGAGTGATATAGAGTCTGAGAGAATGAGAGAGAGAGGGGGAGGCGACTGCACAGTTGCAGGTTACCTTGCAAGCTAATGTTTATAGTTCTGTGCCCTGTGCTGTTTTCTCTCGTTTGTCTCTTCTGCCTTCACTGCAATGCACAGCATGCAACACAAGGAAATCGCCAGGGCAGGGCAGTGCATGCTCGCCGGCAGACATCCCGAATCTTTTGCACTCGGACTCGCGACACGGCTACTGCTCGTAGAGGGCTGGACCCGGGGCCAATTTCGGCTAATCCACAGCAAGAAGAGCCCACCCAGACCAAGACACGGGCTGGCACATGTATATATGTGTCTAGTTTAAATGCCAGTGCTTCCATAGCCTCGGCTGCAGCCACAAGCAGGGAACATGTACCGTGCCCATTTATTTAGGTTTTGAGTGTATGTGTGTGTGCATATGTAGATATTATGTAAATGTAAATATATTGAAGCTAGAGCCAGGATGACATGTTCCTGGCAGCTGCCACAAACCGAGGCCTGAAGGTCCCTAAAGTATCAGGCCACCTACATTGCAGGTCTACATAGAAGCCCATAGCACAGTCTCGGTCCAGGCTCCAACCCGGCAGAGCTCAGTAGGAAGATCACGGAAGAAGCCACAGGGCCAGGACCTGCACGAGCATGCAGGCTTCATGAATGCCCATGGTGCCCAAGATTTGGTGTCTGAGAACCAAGCATATAAGGATGCAAAACTTGAAGACGGCATCCATGTCCCAGGCACCTGCAATCGGTCCAAGGAAACACGGGAAGGCTAGAGATGAACACAGGCACAAGCGAGGCAGCCGTGATGTTGTTGTTGAGTCATGGAACACCCACTCCAGGGGCCCGGCCCGATAGCCCAACCCGGCCATTGTACAGCCAGGCTTGCTGAGTTTGGGGGCACAAGGGCCCGGAACCTCGAAACCCAGTTTTTTATAGATCGATATTCCCGGTTTGGTCTCGGCGGCCACATTTTTATAGATCGATATCCGGCGGGTTACCCCGGCCAGGCCAGAATTATAGATCGATATTGGCCGGGCCATTCCCACCACCCCGCCTTTATAGATCGATATTTCCGTGGTCACCCCGGCCACCGCACCCATATAGATCGATAAAAGTGCTGGTTGTCCCATTTACACAGTGTTGCTGCATGTCGGGGCCAGGGATGTGGTGGGTGGTGGCTCCGGTGGGGCACATGTCATCATTTGCAAAGCCATGAAAGCCTGCCTCACTTGGGCTTCTGCTGCATCGCGAAGGAGAGCAGCTCCCTCTGGAACTGGGTCTGCAGCACGGAAACACTTATGTTCGGAGCCACAATCCACTGCTGATTTCAGAAGCCCGCCTGCTCTCGAACCGTGGCAACACTGTCCGATGCCAGGGCAAGAGCAGCAGGAGCGGCTCGGGCCATCTGAACCTGCTGGCCAGCCCTTGTCCGGCTGCGGGTCCTGCAACATGAACAATACGGGTTCGCTGTGCACTAACCTCGACTGGACCCCACCTGCCGGCCCCCGGCGGCCACCAAGTGCCCTCCGAGTCGACGAACCCGGAGAGCTGGTGCCCTGCGGCCTTGGCGCCTGTGGCTGCCCACGGTGCCTTCACCTGCAAGCTTCATGGTTGCTTCCCTCTGCTCGCGAGCCAATGGCCCTGCGAGACGAGCTTGGCACCACAAACTGCCCGGCCTTGACCATCTGCTGCCCCTTGTATCCGGAGCCCTCGTGCATCCAAGTCGGTGACCAACGGAAAAAAACATCAAACCAAAGTAGCTGGGGCCCTGTCCTTGCCCCACTGCTGGATCCCGCCAGCATTGGGCACAGCCACCTTTCAGCTGACCGGAACCAGGACAAATCCTAAATCCTAAGCCCAAACACCAAACCCTATTATTTATGTGTATATCTACACACACAGACTGCCTTGTATATGTGACTATATACTACTTCGCCTGCAGGGCTATCAGCTCGCAGGCAGGATTGCATGTTGAATGTTCACTATCGAGAAAGTATATGTGCATATATTAGAATGTCTATCTATTATGTATGTATAATATGTATGTATGCATGTATGCATGTATGTATATGTGTATGTATATATATGTATGTATGTATGTATGTAAATGTAGATGTAGACACACACACATATATTTCATAATAGATGTGTGCATGCACATGTGCCCTCGTGAGCCCAAGTGAGCATGGCCTGCCAGTTGGCTTCCCAAGCCATCATCGGCAACCCCTGTCACATCTCAGAAGCACCGAAACAACTCGGCCGCAATAGCAGACCGACCTCCCAAGAGCTGCTCGATGCTGCCGCCTCAGCAGCAGCAGCGAGGAGAAGCAGCAAACAATCCAATTTGCATGCATGCAATGGGGTCCCCACGGGCCACCTTCGGCACTTTCTCGGAGGTGGTCCCTCCGGTTCCTTGACCTCAGCACGGCGAGCATTCGTTGAAGAAGGAAGCCATGCAACTCAAGAACACGGCCAAAGTGGTTCCATCCACGGCCTTGGCATCCGGACAAGGATTCAATTAAATGTGCTGGAAGTGGAATTGAGGTCTGTGCTCGCTTCTTCGGCTTCGGAGGCACTGGCACCTAAGATGTTCATTATACCGACCCAGCGAAAACCTAAGACACAAGCACCCGGCGAACACGGGCTCTTCCAAAGCGACTTCTTCTGTCTCCTGCAACACAAGTGCACGGGATGTGTGCATGTGGGCATGACCTCCATCCAGCCTCCTGGGCTTCTTGCAAGCCATCCACAAGAGGATCCTGCCCAAAGGACATTCCAATTCTACACGGTTTAAGGGTTTAGGCTCTAATAGGGTTCAGGGTTTAGGGTTTATGTTTAGGGTATATTGTATATAGTGTCGCTGAAATCATGCATGCAGGCACCAGTCAATGCCTCCTCCAAGTCGCCACTCGAGTCAATGTCCTGAACAATATATCGGGTGGTGCATGCAAGAGGCAGCATCCAGGAAGCAAAGCAGTGCTAACTCGGCCTCGGCATACTCCTCCTGATCCTCCGGGCATATCTTAAATCTACAGCAGTATATATGATGCATGCAAGCATGCCAAGGGCCCGACCCAGGGGTCAAAGTGGTCCTGGGCTCACAAGAAATGACAACCAACATCTCAATGGTAAGCTTGGGCCCTGCGCCGGAGCTTGCTCGTCCTCGGGGATCTCGGCCTTTTGGCGCTTTTAGAAGCTATAACCCATGAAGCATGGTGCCGATCGCAATTTGGGCCCGAACATGG